CAAAGTAAACTATGATTTCTGTGATATGGGAGTTTTCTGTGAATTTTTCAAGTAAATGAGCTTGGCATTCTTTTAAGCCAGAGAAAAGGTCTATTTATTATATATTTTTCCTTGTAAGAATATGTCTATTTTCTAATTCAATAGTTTATTTTTCATTTTCTTATTTCCCCCTGAATATTAAAAATGATAAGATATATTGCCTCTCATTGGAGGATCTCTGGTGGTAAGAAGATGTAAATAAATGTGTGATTTATAAATGCAACATTCACCCCAAATGATAGATAAAATTATAGGAGCAGAGGGGTATCTATAATAGATTAGATTGAGATAACTTTTTATTTGTTTTGATAGTTGTCACAAATTTCTCTCCTAGAGTCAACGTGAGTTTGTTTCTCTTGAAGTATTGCTGAAAACTAAGAGAACACTTTTCCTCACCCATAATGAGTGTTAGGACCTGAGGTTGACTAGCAGATTTGTGTAAAAGTCTCCTCATCAAGTGAAAGTTAGCAACCGTCTGGGGTCTTATATAGAATCTAATATTTTGTACTTGGTCTACAACCACTTTAATATATTTCTCCTCATTTCTGGGCATTAAAGTAAAGGGCTATTATTAGCCAAATCCACCTACAGTTTGGTCAAGCTATTAGATACCAATTTCAAAAGAGGTTCCAGAAATCCTTTTTAATCTTTCCCTTTCTCTTCCAGAAAATAAAAACTTTTTCAATATTTTATTCTTGTCACCAAAAATTTCAAGAACTACGTAGGTCTAAGATTTTTATCATTCTTGTCATCAAGAACTGTACCACAGTCTTGTGAAGACTCCTTGGACAAAGACAAAAATTATAGTAGCAACAGCAAGACAGCATTTTGTTAAAACAGTTCAAGTCTCAAGTTAAGTATTACTTATTCTTATTTTTATTTCTACTTCTATTGAGGTACCATGGACTGGAGTGATAGCACAGTGTGTAGGGCTTTTGCCTTGCACGTGGCACCCGGTTGGCCCAGGTTAGATTCCTCTGCCCTTCTCGGAGAGCCCAGCAAGCTACCGACAGTATCTCGCCCGCAAGGTATCAAGCCTGACAAGCTCCCCATGACATATTAGATATGCCAAACACAATAACAAGTCTCACAATGGAGACGTTACTGGACCCGCTAAAGCAAATCAATGAACAACAGGAGGACAGTGACAGTGACAGTATGTTTTCTTTAAAGAATTTTTTAATGCAATTCTTCTACCTCTCTTGATGAGATTGTTTATTTTTATGTCACTACATTTTACAAGTGTTTTACAAATCTTGAATATTAACTTTGCCAAATGAATGAATGAGTGAATGAACGGCAAAGATTTCCTCCCATTCTCTGCGGTGTCATTTTTTTCCTACTCATTTTTTTGTATCTCGCCCGCACGGCAGAGCCTGGCAAGCTCCCCGTGACATATTCGATATGCCAAACACAGTAACAACAAAGTCTCCAATGGAGACGTTGCTGGGCCCGCTCGAGCAAATTGATGATCAACGGGAGGGCCTTTATTTTACGTTACTTTACATTTTTTTGTGCTGCAGAAAATTTTATTTTGATGTAAACTCAATTCTATAGACCAACTCTCTAGTTATTTTCTTTGTTTGTGTTGGCTGGCAAATGTCACTGAATTACTGAAGATGCTGCTAGATTCAATATTATGAAGGGTAATGTCTTTTTTTCCTTGATACAGTTTACAGATTAAGGCAGGATATTGAGACTTTTTATCCACCTTGAATTGACTTTTTAAAAAATAAATAAGTATAAAAAAGTATTTTAATGTGAAATTGTTATATCTCATCATAGGATTGATAAGTCCTTGTCTAAGAATTTACTGTTTGTTGATTATTGAGACTTTTTTGTATGTTGAGTTTAGCTGGATTCTCTATTATTTTCCTATCTAATTTGAAGTGCTCCTACTGAAATTTCAATATTGAGGAACTAGAAGGTATTTGGCAACTGAATATGCAGCATGCAGTCTAGAGACTTCAGAATCTATGGTCTGAGCCAATGAGTTGACGTGGCAGAAATATGGGAGGTGTGCAGAGCTGCCAGGGCTTCTAGAAGAAGGGGGATAGGCAAAGAGAATGCCTACCCAAACTCTAAGAAAACACCAGAGTTCTCAGTGTGGGCACTGGGGTACCCAAAATTATTTGCAGTTTGGCATCTTTGCAGAGAATGTTAGTGAAGCAGTACAGTTGAGCCTTTAGTATGACAGCAGGGGTGAGAGGTGGGTGCAGTTGCAGGGGATTTGGCAAGACAGGTATACTCAAGCCACCTACCTCTTCAGTGTGCCTCAGAGTTTTCAGTGCAGGTTTTCCAGGAATTTTAGCTGCTTGGCTAGCATATCCTTGGGGACTTTTATCAGTAGAGCAGGATCGGCAGGTGAGTCAACAGGCTGGGTTGAGTTTTGTGTCAGGTGTGAAATAGGGTCTAAGTTCATTTTTCACAAGTGGCTAATCAGTTTTCTCAGAACTGTTTGTGGAAGTGGCTTTTCTTGTCCCACTCCATTGTCCTCCTTCCTTTGTTGAAGATTAGTATACCTGAGGGCTCCCAATTCTATCTCACCGTTCTGAAATTTCAGAAATAGTAGAGTCATGGCCAAGTATTTAAGAACGTTTTATTGAGATGTAGTTTTCAGTAGTATAAGTTGAGGTACTGCTCCATCTATCTTTTCTTTCCACATTTCAGGTCCTTTCACCATTTTCCCTCATGGTCCCATTCTCCTCCCACACCCGTGGCCTCCTTAGTTTCCAATTCTATGAATTATGTCTCGGCCTTTGTTCCCACTGGGGATTATCCATTCCCTTTCTTTACTGCTTGGTGTTCCACATATGAGCAAGATCACCTTGTATTTCTCTTGTATTTATCTTTTATTTTCTGACTAATTTCATTTTGCATTATATTCTACAATTCTATCCAAATTTGTGCAAATTGCAAGGTTATCACTTTTATCATAGCTTGATATACACATTAATATATAATACATAACTGTGATAATATATAATAGTGCAGTCTCCTGCCCCCGTGCCTGACTGTCCTCGCCGCCGGGGCCCCTTGGAGGGGAGCGGGTTGAGCTTTCTTCCCTGCCCCGACCAGGGCTCCTGCAGCCAAAGACCTCCAGGACCAGCCACTACCATAATGAGACCACTCTCCGCACACATGAAGGTACTGGCAGAGTGACAAAGTCATGCGGGTTCCGGGGCCGAGATCTCCAAGCCTACTCGGATTTGGGCCGAGCATCCTCCACCCAGATCCTCCAAATTCCAGTAGGCGGGGGTCACACCCACCAACTGCCCCCCTGGCGCTATGTAATCCCATCAGCGGCCAAGACTCAGAGACTATAAAAACCAGCTCCCGGATCCGCATTCGTGGCCACGCAACATCTTATTATGACATCTTATTCCTACTTTGACAAACTTGCAGGCTACCGAATGTAACCTGCCCACACAGCAGAGTCTGGCAAACTCCCCGTGGTGTACCCAATATGCCAAATATCAGTAACAATGATGGGTCTCATTCTCCTAAAGAGCCTTGAATATAATCTCAGGGCTAGGATGAAAGAGACGTTACTGGGGCCTGCTAGAGGCAATCGACGATTAACAGGATGATTTGTGATTTGTGATATAACTGTGATATATATGTATACATATATGTGTATATCTCACAGTTTCTTTAAAAATATACTCCTCTGTTTTTGGGCACTTCAGTTGTGTCCAGATCTTGACTCCTATAAATGACACTGATGAACATAGGTGGTTATATTTCCTATTAGGTTAATGTTTTTGTGTTCTTTGGAGAGATACCCAAAAGTGGAATTGCTGGGTTAAGTGGAAATTCATTTCTTAATATTTTGAGGTTTCTGAATTATTATTTGAAGAGACTGAGCCCTGTAGCAATCCCACATACAGTGAATGAGTATTTCTTTTCTACCACGTCTCCTCCAGTGCTTTTTGCTTCTGGTGATTTTGATACAAACCATTTTTTTCTAGTGTGATTGACATACCATTCTGTTTTGGTTTGCTTTTCTCTGATAATCAGTGAAGATTACCATTTTTTATGACTTTTAGAACATAAAGGTTAATTAAAAATGTATTAAAAACCTTGATATAAAACCTATCCCTATAAAATAAATAGAGGAAAACATAAACAGGATTCTCCAAGATCTTGACCTCAGAAGAATCTTCACAATCTGTTCCCATTGGCAAAGAAAGCAAAAGCAATAATAAATGTCACTATATCACAGTGAAATGTTTCTGCATTGCAATAGAAATGAGACCTTAAAGAAGATACTTTATTGATTGGGAGAAATTATTTGCATACTGTACATCAAAGGGCAGGAAGGACTGGAGCAATAACTCAGCGGGTAGGGTGTTTGCCTTGCATGTGCGGATCTGGGTTTGATTCCTTAGTCCCTCTGAGAGAGTCCCGCAAGCTATCAAGAGTATCCTGCCTGCCCGGCAGAGCCTGGCAAACTACTGTGGTGTATTCAATGTGCCAAAAGCAGCAACAAGTCTCACAATGGAGACGTTACTGGTGCCCACTCGAGCAAATCGATGAACAATGGGAAGACCGTGCTGCAGTGCTACATCAAAGGGCTAATATTCAAAATACATTAAGTGCTCTCAAAACTCACCAACATGCAAACAGACAATCCTACCAAAAATGGGGAAGAAAATAAACAAATACTTCCTCAAAGAAGACACTAAGATAAATTTAACTTGGAATCAGTATCTCGTCCTTTTTAAGTTTTCTCTTTTACCAAAGTGAATGCAATACAAAAGCAATACAAAATACAAGGCAATACAGAAACGAGTGAGATCATGCAATCCTGTTCTAAAACTGGCTTCAGCAATATCTAATACTATTATTCAGATCTTAGACATTTTAATGTGCATGTTAAAAGTTTTATGAACATTTGGATTCGCATTGTATAAAACAAATAAGTATTGATTTTCTTCAACTTGTTTCTTGTTTATTAGCTTACAGGTTGCAATAAAATGAAGGAAAATGCTTCATGTACTGAGCAAAACAAAGACAATCAGCATTTTGAAAATAAAACAGATGAAAAGATCAGTGTAAGTATTAAAATGTTTTCTGTTTGTTTGTTTTGTGTTTTGTGACTAAAATATGCTTTATTCTCTGCCGGATGTAGACCGATTTCTGTCTTCGGCTTGATCAACATATTGAATTCTCTTGCTACTTAAGTAATATGGATTTTATTATTCTGAGCATTGTATTTCCATTTTGAAGATTTTTTTCTATTTTTTGATATATTTTCTTTAGTTATTTAGTCATCTCACAACGTTTTACTTTAGTCTAAGTTTTTTTTTTTTTAATTTTTCCTCTCTTTGGTCTGGTCTACATCTACTCAAGTCACTACTAGCTAGAAGTTTTCAGTTTTTTCTATTGAATACTGGAGAAGTACTCTGAATAATACTTTTCTATTTTATTTTTTGTGATTGTCAATAGAATATTTACTAGAGAGAGGAACTCAAAAGAACTATAGAGTGATGCTGAAGAGGTTGTAGGGCTTTTTGTGTTGAGATCAGTAACTTTAAACCAAGAGTACGATGTCATTTTTAAGTGAAAGTGTTTCACAAATTAATAGCTTCATGTTTAATCTATTTTTGATCAACAGTCACTAGATGATCTTTATTTACAAGCCCATTGACACAAATAGGGGTTTTGTCCTCTATTGTTTTTAAAAAGAAAGACACAAGATCTCACCAGGAAAACAATGAAAACAAATAATTGCTTTGATAAAGTTATCAGGATTCACTGGTATTCAAATGTGCCAACTTGTCAAGCAGGTAAATTAAGTAAGCTTAAATAAGTGCTGGTAGATATATATAGGAAACGGATTTTTTGTGTGTATATTATTAGGGGTGGGGATAAAGTTCAGGGACCCACTGGTGATACTCTCTCCACTAGAAAGTCAATTCCTCTTAAGGACTGAGAGTATGAGGCTGCTCGAGTCTTGCTGTGCTGGTGAAGCCCAGCCAGCCCTCTCCCCACCCAGCCCCACACAGCAATGCCAGGAGCCTCCAGGGCTGTGCCAGAGGATGCTCAAAGGATCACATGGTGCTGTTAGCATCAAATCTGTGTACTATCTCCCAGCCCAAATTTATGTTTCTATCACGAGAATATATATTACTAACATACGCTATTTAAACTTTAAAAGTTTCAGGATCTTTATTTTATAAGGTAGCTATGAGGTTTTAATGAGATCCTGAATATGAGCATGTTCAATAATGCCTGAAAAATAATAGATTTTCATTCTATTGAAATAACACGCAAGTATTATTTTGAATTTTTGGAGATGCTATATTCTATTTCTTTGGGTTTCTTTGGATTTATGCCTATGTTATATAACTAAGTGTCTAACTTTAATTTTTTTTTTGCCTGAATACCATTTGCTCAAGAGGAGGCCTCTGTCTTGCTGATTTCTACTTTTTGCTGCCCCAAATAAGTGCAAGTTGAATTAAAATAAGTATCAGTGACAGATTCTTAAAATAGCTTAAGAAAAAAATAATTATGTAGCAAATAAAAGAAAACTCATAACTGCAATAAGAGTAAAATATCATTGAAACCTTTGTTTAAAGACCATTTTTCAAAGGCTATATTAACAGTAAATCATGTTATAAATCATAATTATATCTATCTATTAAATATAACACTGACGAATTTATCATCAAAATAAGGTATTTGGTTAGATAGTGTCTGAAGAGTCTTTCAGACTTAAAGCTTACTCATTCTGTGACATTCAATTTCAGATAGATTATATTGTGTAAATAAAAAAAAACACTGACAACACATTTAAATAATTTTAGTCAGCAATAGCTAAAGAACCCCATGTGCATTTGGTGGTAAATATCTGTCTAGAAAATTAAGCACGAAGAACTTTATTTAGCATTATTAGTTTAAGAAAATTTCAAACCCAGTTCATAGATCAGTGATTCTTAAAATGTTCTTTCAGTCAGTAGCATGACCATCCTTTAGGGACTTGTTGAAAAGCAGGTCTTGAGTTCTACCCCCTAACAACTAATCAGAAATGCTGGGTGTTGAACTCAGACATCTGTGTTTTGAGAAGTTCCCCAAGTGATTCTTAAATATGCTAATTTGAGAAACACTGTTATGCATAATAAACCTTTGGGTCCTCCTCTAGGGATTCACTTGCCATCTCTTTTGTAACATGCTTTAAACTGGCCAATTTAGGGAAGACCCAAGAGTGATTTGAGAATTAGGCACTTAAGATGGGAGAACTGGCATCATACACTGTTTAGAATTCTTGTTTTACTCAAACAAGAATTAGTGATCTGATCCGCACATCTCACAACAAACAAAAACAAAAACATAGAACATAAAACTCTGGGACTGATTTTCCAACATCACTCAGAAATGTGTATATGCCCTATCCTGTTTGTTCTTTACTCCTTATCAGATTCTTACTTTATCAATTTCCCACTCGCATTATTTATGAGTCATAAGGGTGGGAGGTGCCTTACCTAAAATCACTGTTCCATGGAAATTAAGCGTCAGAAATAATACTCAATTGCATTTATTATCTGTGTTCACATGGAGTCTTTGTACCTTTTTATTATACTTTCAGCTTTAATTTCATTAAGTTTGGAGATGCTTTGCCTGTTGTTGAACTCAGGCAACTGATTTCTCATCCTTATAATGCTGAGTTTTAAATTTGAGACATCTTGCTTTTCAGAATAAGTTTCAACAAATCGGGATTTCCTCATTGGTTTTAGAAAAATATGTTTGTATATTTTTGCAGTAGGAAGAGAAAAAAGGTCATGTGGCTTGAAGAGGTAGTGTACTGGCATACTTTCCTTGCATATAGGTGACCTTGAGGCTCCTTGGCACACATGTTCTCCCAGGGATCAGTAGGAGTGATTCCTGAGTACAGAGCTAGGAATAAGCTGAACACAGCCAAGTGTAATGCGGAACAAACAAAAAAGATTACCAGAGTATTACCTTGAGCCTACAGTAAATTAATCACGTGACTTAGAGCATATTGCTTGAGCCGGTCCAGTAACATCTCCATTGGAGACTTTGTTGTTACTGTGTCTGGCATATCGAATACTCTCGACCAGTAACGTCTCCATTGGAGACTTTGTTGTTACTGTGTCTGGCATATCGAATACTCTCGGTAGCTTGCCGGGCTCTCCGAGAGGGGCGGAGGAATCGAACTCGGGTCGGCCATGTTGGCCGCTTGTAAGGCAAACGCCCTTCCGAGGTAGAGCATATTAATGGCCTTTATTTTAATTTGTAAAATGCATATCAAACTCTTGTGCTTCCTTATACAGGCATGATTAGGAACAATTTTAAGTTATAATGTGAATAATCTGTCAGCTCTATGCTCTAGTTAGAGCATACAATTAGCAGATATGACCAGAATACTAAATATTTCTTAAATACTTTAAATGTTATATAATATTTTAGTTATTTTGGTATTTTAACTCTAATTTCTTAATCAGAACACCAACTGTAACCAATCTTATAAATTAGAACTAGTTGGCCAATAAAAAAAGTGGATACTGTGCAAATACCACAATAACTAGGAGGAAAGTTAGGTCTCAAATAAGAACGAAGAAGTAACCAAGCAGAGAGAAACTTGACAGGAGGAAGCCTATTAGACTATTAGGGAATAATTTTTAAGAGGAAGTCCCAATAGGAACTAGGGAATATGCATTCTTTTGTACTCTTACTATTTGGGTGTTCTTTGGCAAATCCCTCATTTGTTCCATGTTCCCTAGTCTGAAGGGAAGGGCTTTGGTTAAATAATTTATTTGACTTTCAGATGCCTTAGAAGTGATAGTATATTTAATATATTCTGTATATTTAGCATAGAATAAGAAAAGAATTTATTTTAGGAAATCTCAAAACTGCTTTGATTTTTAAAGACTGTTCTCTATGTTACTGTATTTTGTTAAAGAACTCAGATCTTGCATCTCTATTTACCAAATTTGCCAAAATTTAGAAAATGACTTATTTTTCTTAGTGCCACTCAGTTGTGGGAATAAACCTTTTAAAGTTTGTGTAGGGAATTAGAGCAGAACAAGGATTCCTTTGCCTTTATATGCTCTCCATGGTCTTTATTTTAATAGTGATTGTTCTGATTAATCTTCCAAGTGATGTAAATTAAAATAAAACACAGAATCATAGGGTTAAAAGTAATTGTAATTGTAATGATAATCTAAAGTAGCAGTTCTCAACTGGGGGCCATATGAATTCCTTTGGTCCCTAGAATATTACAATGGGGGCACTGTATGAGACCAGGGGCAAGTTTTTAGGTTATGGGGGGGTTGAAGAAAGAAAAGAAGTTGATAAGGGTGTCAGAATTAGAGAAAGTTTGACAAACACTGATCTAGGCTACATTTGAGCAATTAACTTTCTTCTATTTCTTTTGGGTCACATCTGGCGATGCACAGGGGTTACTCCTGGCTCTGCACTCAGGAATTACTCCTGGTGGTGCTCAGGGGACCATATGAGATGCTGGGAATCGAACCCGAGTTGGCTGCATGCAAGGCAAACGCCCTCCCCGCTGTGCTATCGCTCTAGCCCTAGCTGGAGCGATAGCACAGCGGTAGGGCGTTCGCCTTACAAGCAGCCAACATGGCCGACCCGAGTTCGATTCCTCCGCCCCTCTAGGAGAGCCCGGCCAGCTACCGAGAGTATTCGATATGCCAGACACAGTAACAACAAAAGTCTCCAATGGAGACGTTACTGGGCCCGCTCGAGCAAATCGACGATCAACGGGAGGGCCTTTACCTTTACCTTTTAACTTTCTTCAGTTTTAAATCTCCGATGCTGTAACACAAAAACGTTAAGAGAAATCTATTAGTAAATCTCTAATTGTAAGAGGTATTTGCCAACCTCTTAAGGCAAGTAATCCCATCTGGGTAAGTTTAAATGTTATGTGGCTATTCTTTCTATTAAACACATGATATGAACATTTGAAAGTTTTTTCCCTTTTATCAGTGAAAGTAAACACACAACTTCTAAGTATCTGGAATTATTGTTACTTATTAAGGAAGTAATCTGTAGAATAACACTGTTTTGTCCT